AAAATGATAAAGTAACTCACTAAATAAAAATCAGAGGGTACTGGCACAGACTGCAATCTAAATGTCGGGTGAGTGGTACACATCCCCAAAGGGCAACTTCTCTCCCAAATGCATAACCTTAGGAGGTTTTGCTTTAATTCAGGAAGCCAGGAGGCAGAGGCTTAATAGCCTTTGCTCTCTGTATAAACAGTGGGTGTATGGAACTCTCTTCTTTTCAGTTTTGCTAGAGGGCATGTAAGTGCACCAGGGGAGGGAGGCTGAAATCATCCCACGAGGAGAATGGCCATGCCACAAGATTCTTCTCTCCCATTCGTTCTGCTCTCAGGATTCCGGACACGCATGCACATGCACCCAGTGTGATTTTCAAGCCACCTGGTCTGAGCCTTGAACCATGTAGTCAGCCATGTGGAATCCAGCTTAACCTCCGCACCACCTGCTGGCCTAAAACTTTTATTTTCATTGCAAAAGACTTAATACTAAAGCCTTACTGGGACACTAGTTTAGTTTTGAGATGCCTTAGAACAAAGGCGTGTCAAACTCTACTACTGAATGGCCTCATTGTGGTCACTTATAAATCAGCTTTATTGTCAGTTGAGCTAATCCGAGATCAGCTCATGCTTTAAAGTATAGCTTAAAAAGTAATGCACCACCAAGAACAGGATTTTGTTGAGTTTTTCTCCTGTTACTTTTTATCTGTAAACAGTTTTCAACCCTCTAATACTGAGAAGGGTTCCTTTTTTTTAAAAAAGAAAAAATATTTACTTATTTTAATTTGACCAAAAAGAGACACAGTGAATGAGAGGGAGAGAGGGAAAGTGAGAAAGTAAGCTGCCAGGTCTGGGACTCAAACTGCAGTAGGCCATGTGCAAGTCCAGAGCCCTTAACCACCATGCCACCTACACGCACTAAGGGTCCCCTTCTAACATGCTAATCTTGAGTCACATTCACAAATATAGAAACACCATGAGAATGCCATTCTTGTTTCCCCCACTGAAAATATAAGCATTAAGGCTGGTTAATTTGGACTGGCAACAATAAAGACTCTGTGAGTAGGCCGTTGCTTCTCTGCAGCTCCCCCAATTTTTTTTAAGAGGTTTTTGCTATAGGGCGCGTGCACTCGCCAGACAGACAGAGAGATACAGAGAGATAGAAAGCAAGAAATCAGCCCCCAGGGGGTATGGCCATGCCGCAATCCCTTCTCCTCCATTCTCCTCTCAGGATCTTGGGCATGCATGCACACGCGCCCAGCGTGGGTTTTAAGCCATTGGGTCTGGGACGTGAGCCTCAGTCGACTACGTGGGAATCCAACGACATAGCCATTATGCTAACTGCTGGTTCTGACTCCCCAAATTTTCCAGGGGCCTTCAGATAACAAGAACTTGGGGCCTGCACTCTGTCTCCAATATATAGTTCCTGGACATTGTTTTCTGATTCAAGAAGAGTCTGAAATAGCACCCAAGCTTATCAGCAAGCAGTCTCCATGTCAGAGAAAAGAGAGGCATGTGATTGTTATTGTTGTAATGGTAATTTTCAGGGATGAACCACACACTTTTTCAGATAAAAAATGGGAAGCTGGTTGCAGATATGACTAAGAAATCAGCACAGAATTTCTGAGTTATGCAAACAGATGAAGCAAACTCCACACTAGCAGCAGCAATCTGTCTCAAAGGGCATAAAGCAAGTTCTCTGAGGAAGGAAGTATCAACAGTGGCAAGAAATCATGCTCTTCCTCCAAGTGTGACACATCAGAGATCATCAGATGAGGAGACTTTCCCTGAGGACAGAGATATGCCTTCTAATGTCATCATGGAATCTGGTGCTAAAAGGGACCTTTAGGCAGCTGCACCTGGTTAAGAGTCCCACGAGCGGGCAGCATGAGCAGGCAGAGAGCTAGCACAGCATGGAGCCCACCAGACTTGACGCCTTCATTATGCAGATGTGAGTGATACATCTCTCAGTCTGTCAAGAGAATCCAGGAAGATAATGGATGTGGTCAGCCCATGGTAGTAAATTCTGTTTGTTTGGTTTTGCTATAGGGTGCATGAATTCACCAGAAAGGGAGTGAGAAATCACCTCTCGGGGGGATGCCACATTGCAACCCTTTGTCACCCAGCCTCCTCTTGGGACTCTGGGCACACACGCACACATGCCCAGTGTGATTTTTAAGCCGTCAGGTCTGGGACTCAAACTGTGCCATCAGCAATGTGGAATCCAGCACCTTAACCTCCATGCCACCTGCTGGCCCCATGGTAGTAAATTTTTAGTATGTGTGTTCTCACCACTCTTCCCAGTGCCATTGAGCTGAATTCTGCAACCTTACAGCTTCTCCCAATACATGAGATGTTTATTCTCTGGGCTACGAAGAACTCCTCTTCTATTCAAATACTTACAGGAAGGCAGAAATCTCATGGGCTAGAGATTTCCCTCAACTATTCCTCTGAAAACTTGCCTATTCTGGTTCCCCCATCCCCACCACTGCTCATTCTGAACCAACAGAAAATAGAGCGAGAACTGCCTGGAGCCTTGGCCTACAACACAAGCTGCCCTTCAGGATAATCCAGGTGACAAACCTCATCTTTATCATCAGTAAACAAGGCGCCCAAGAGCATCCAGGTGAAGAAGCACAAGACTAAGGTCATGGGTCATTCTTTTCACTTTTATTCAAATAAATACAATACATATATATAGCTGGATTAATTTCCCTTGCCACATCTCTTTTTCCTTAGGTTTGAAGACAACAGACAATGCTGGGTCACATCATGGCTCCTTTCTAATGCAAAATGAATGTTTCAGATGCATAGGCAGATAGCTGGCTTGTCAAAGGAGCTGTGGTATCACTTGCCCATGTGGTGTTGACCAAGATGAAGACAAACGTCTGTTTTGGTAAAAACTCCTAATTTCATAATGTACCTTTGGAGAAAATGCAATTTTTTTCTTCCCCCTTCCTTCCCAGGTCAGGCACTTGAAAATGAGACATTCTGGGAGTGGGCAACCCAGTTTTTAGTACTCACTGAGTTTCATTTCCCAAGAACATTCAGTGTAGAAGGAAACTGCATTTAGGGTTTGCCATTACAGTTAGCATGCCACCTGCTGGCCCCATGGTAGTAAATTTTTAGTATGTGTGTTCTCACCACTCTTCCCAGTGCCATTGAGCTGAATTCTGCAACCTTACAGCTTCTCCCAATACATGAGATGTTTATTCTCTGGGCTACGAAGAACTCCTCTTCTATTCAAATACTTACAGGAAGGCAGAAATCTCATGGGCTAGAGATTTCCCTCAACTATTCCTCTGAAAACTTGCCTATTCTGGTTCCCCCATCCCCACCACTGCTCATTCTGAACCAACAGAAAATAGAGCGAGAACTGCCTGGAGCCTTGGCCTACAACACAAGCTGCCCTTCAGGATAATCCAGATGACAAACCTCATCTTTATCATCAGTAAACAAGGCGCCCAAGAGCATCCAGGTGAAGAAGCACAAGACTAAGGTCATGGGTCATTCTTTTCACTTTTATTCAAATAAATACAATACATATATATAGCTGGATTAATTTCCCTTGCCACATCTCTTTTTCCTTAGGTTTGAAGACAACAGACAATGCTGGGTCACATCATGGCTCCTTTCTAATGCAAAATGAATGTTTCAGATGCATAGGCAGATAGCTGGCTTGTCAAAGGAGCTGTGGTATCACTTGCCCATGTGGTGTTGACCAAGATGAAGACAAACGTCTGTTTTGGTAAAAACTCCTAATTTCATAATGTACCTTTGGAGAAAATGCAATTTTTTTCTTCCCCCTTCCTTCCCAGGTCAGGCACTTGAAAATGAGACATTCTGGGAGTGGGCAACCCAGTTTTTAGTACTCACTGAGTTTCATTTCCCAAGAACATTCAGTGTAGAAGGAAACTGCATTTAGGGTTTGCCATTACAGTTAGCGAGATCGATCATGACAAAAATATTTTTGATGTGCTAGAGCTTAAATTGGAAATGCATGAGTTGGAGAAATTTCTTTTTTTTTTTCTAAATTAGTCTTGCTTCTCCTTGAAATTCTGTGTTTAAGATTAAACAGTAGCTTCTTTAGTTTAGAGTTAGCCTGATTAATATCACCTTTATTAAGAAAAACTATCCTCTCAGTGGCTTAGCCTCTGGTACTCCAGATACTCATTTAAATAAAAGTTGTAACTTCTATTGTTGATTGACAGTTCAGTCCAAACTCGTTCAGGCAGTCATTCCTGACCTGAGTTAGTTAGGGGTGAATGTAATCCACATTGGTTGATTTAATGTTAAAAGCTTAATCCTCACAGGAAAATGCAGCAGAAGATAGAGCCCTGAGGCAAGTGGGTCTACAGAGTAGAAGGTCTGGACAGATTACTGTGGGGCTGGGGCCACACTACCGCTTCGAACATGCGACTTCTGCAGCTCTAAGAGTTGCCTTTGCAGAGCAGGAGACAGCCCTCACCCCTGCAGACTGTCGTAGGTAAGACAGAGAAAAGTCCGGCTTCTTAGCAACTTCCCAGACTGCCTGCCTCTGATCTCACTTCCTCCTTCGAGATGCTAGTTGGTTGAGGAGCAACCCAAGGGAGGGCATATAAGCTGGGTGTGTTGACTGCTCCTGCCTCCCTGTGACAGGCAAGGCTGGCAAGGCTGTCTGGAAGCCTGACAAAGAGCAAGTCCACTCCCAGCAAGTAAAAGTTCCAACCACTTCACAGTTAGTCCACTAAAGCAAACTAAATCATCCTGGAAAATAATACTCTTTAACTCCCCTTTTTACATTTATAAAAAGTAACAACAAAAAACTAGAAGTTCTAGAAATCTTTAAAAATTTTGTATCAACAGCCTTCTTAATAACAAATATAAAACAGGTTAAGACACTTGGTGACTTTCTCAGGCCATGTGGGGGAAGGGAGGTGTTACTACTAAAATAGTCTGTTTGCTACAAACTTTGGGTAGAGCTCTGTCAAGACAATAATTGTTTTGGAAAAAAAGAGTTTTAACTTTTTCCAGGATATCAAAAAGAATAAGGATGTAAACACCACATACTTAAAATGTTAATACAACAATAATAATTTAGTCAAATAAATAAAAGAAAGTGGCACCAACTTTATGGCAATTTTTCAAAACAAAAACGTAGCTCAAGGATGTATTAAATAAATAATTGCTCTATACAGGAACAATCGTTCTCAGCACAAATCAACAGCATTCAAAGCAAAGTGCTATGAGAACAAGTGGCTCCACAAGTTCAATGTGTTCATACACGAACAGAAGTGGGACTTGGATCTTCCTGTCAGGAACAGTCACCACGAGGGCACAGCTGGCTGTGCTAGAGGCCAGGCTTAGGGCTGTTTTTTATAATTTTTCGCTTTTCTTCCAGCGTGTGCTTAAATATTTTCTTCAGGGTGTTGTAAACTAACGGTCCATTTTCAGAATCAAATTTAACCTGGTGACAAAAAATATTATATTCAGAATACTGTAACAAGGATTTAAACCAGGTGCTGGCAGGCAGGATGGTGGCTAAGGCAGCTGGCTCTCACACGGCTGGCTGCACGGTTCAAGTCTCAGACTCGGTGGCTTGAGGAACATGCGTGTGTATGCATGCCTATGTGTGGACATGCCCAAAATCCCAAAAGGAGAATGGAGGAGAAGGAATTGCAGCATGGGCATTCCCTTTCCCCTTCTCCTGTCTGTGAACCCCACATGCCCTATAGCAAAAGCTAAAAAAGAAAAAGAAAAAATTTGAACTGGTATTTATATTCGGAGAAAATACGGGGCGGAGAAAAAAACACGACTTCTAATTAAGTTATATATAATTTTTAAAATACACATAATGCATTTCATACATGTTAAGTGAAAGACTACATCTGAACTGCCAGCCATGCCAATACCAAAGTTATGAATGAAAAATTAAACCTAGGGACCAGCAGTTAGCGTAATAGCTATGTTGCTGGACTCCCACATAGTCGACCACGGTTCGAGTCCCAGACCCGGTGGCTTAAACTCACGCCGGGCGCGTGTGTGCCCAAGATCCCGAGAGGAGAATGGAGGAGAAGGGATTGCGGCATAGCCATCCCCCCTGGGGGGTGATTTCTCGCTTTCTGTCTCTCTGTCTCTGTCTGTCTGGCGAGCGCACGCACTCTAAAGCAAAAACCTCTCCCAAAAAAAAAAAAAAAAAAAATTAAACCTAGAGCCTGGCTAGGCTAGTGAGCGTGAAGTGAACTTTTTTTTGAGAGGTTTTTGCTATAGGGTGTGTGCACTCACCAGAAAGACAGACAGACAGAGACAGAAAGGCAGAAAAATCCCCCCCCAGGGGAGATGGCCACAACACAATCCCTTCTCCTCCATTCTCTTCTCAGGATCTTGGGCACGCATGTACACACGCCCAGTGTGAGTTTAAGCTACCGGGGCTGAGACTCAAACCACGGTCAACTACATGGGAGTCCAGTGACATAGCCATTATGCTAACTGCTGGTCCCAGGAAGTGAATTTTTAATCCAGAGACTAATCATTGATGGTATAAGGGAAATACCCTTTTTATTAAAGCAAAACACATCAGCTGTGTCACACTCAGAGGCTCCAAGGCCTCCCGGGGCCAGAACGGAGTGACCTGAACTGAGAGCATGGCTCTCCACCTGCCCACGTGCTGGGCATCTTCATCTCTCTCTTACCTCTCTGGACCTCAATTTTCTTCTCTGTAAAATGGAAATCTTAAATCCTACTCCATTAGGACTTCTGTGACTAATAAAGAAAACCTGGCATTGATGAGAGTCTAGTATATTTGGCACATATAAATACTTCAATAGTTTCCTTCCCTCTTGCAAGAAGGTACCGTATCTGGATCTCTGCTTTCTGGGTTAGGAGTGATGGGAGGATCGAGAACCAGAGCAAATATTCCTGCCCCACCCCGAGTAATGTGTGACTCACTGAGGAAATGCCAGGATTACAGGGTTCCTGCCTCTCCCCTCTTAGACAGTCTCCTTCTCTGATAAATTCTGATGGAAAGGAGGCTCTCTCTGTCAACACTGTAAAGCAGCTGAGACTTCATCCTACTTGTAAGCTAACTTGTCAGCCTATTAGTGTCCTCCTTGAAGCAGGATGTGCTTCATTCTCACATGGCCTCTTGCCCCCAGGTCTCACCAAGGGAACACAGCTAGGCCCAAGTGGAGGCTGCACACACACAGGGTTTGTGTCACATCTGAGGAGTTTCAAGCTTAGAAAAATCCTGATATTTTATGAAGGGACTACAAGGAAGACTGCTAACCTTTGCCCTGATGGGAAACAGTATCTTTACTACCGAGGAGGCAGAAAGATGTGGCTTCTGCCCTGCAGGCAGTGACATAGACATCCATGAAGGGCTGTCGGTGTCTCTGCTCCTCAGGCTGTGCAGATGTGAGAGGCTCGAGGAGATCATCTGTTAACATTTTTCAAAGACTGAGTACAACTGATGCATGTAACTTTTTATTAATACCTCCTCAGAAGGCCAATAGAAGTTGTAAGGAATTCTTATGGCTTTCAGAGACTAGTATTAAGAATTTTTTTCAGGCAAACTCATAAATTTAATTATATCTTAACTACTATACTATCTATCCTATTTGTAAACATTTCTTTCTGACATTAGTAATAGTTTAAATAATTTATTGTTATTTTTAAGACAATCTCTTTGTGTCATGATCCTCCTGCCTCAGCCTCCAGAGCAGCTGGGACTACGGGTGCATGCTACTGCACTCACCTTTTGGGGTGGGTCAGGAATCAGACACAGGTCTGCCATGTGGCCTCGACCTCTTATTGGCGGAGTGGCAGTATCCTCCAGCATGTACTACCAAGGCTGGAATGAACTGTTCACTTTCTTAAACACCAAACCACACCCCTCCTCACACTGTAAGTAGACTTCCAGTCTATAGAAATGCCTATACTGATGTAAAGGATTGCATGGTCTGTACCTGAGACTGCTGATTCTGGAAACTGTGAAGAACGTGCTGAAAGGATGTCAAGTGTTCCAGATGGGGAACAAGGAAGCCTACAACATCACTTGGGAAGAGTGGAGGGTAAGGAGGCTGGATAAATATTGGAAAGGAAAACTCTTCATGACTCGTGAATAAGTGCAAACCATCACTGCAGTTATCACTGTTTACCACATTCAAAAGCTGAGTCCTTTTGTGAACACTCCACAGCACATATGAGATACCAAACAAATTAGCTGAAAGGGTGATGGAAACCTTCTCTCTTGGCATGAACCTGGCTTCCTTTTTTTTTCCCCCCAGCCAGGAAAACTGCTGCAAGCCAAAACGATGTGCCTAGGAAGAGAACATTTTTCCACTCTGTACCTAAAATTTGCCAACCAGGGCACAGTGCAAGCTGGCAGTGCTGGATGGTGAATTCTCAACAGGTGGTTTCTTGTTTATGCCCAAGGTAGAACCGGCTCAACCAGAAAAGGCTGAGGCCTAAGAGGCACGTGATTTAAAGATGCTCACCCAATACCTGATGTCTCTGTTCTGTGTTAAAGCTTTTTGTTCCAACATTCTCCTTCAAAAAAATCACAGTGCAGCTTTACCCTAATATCACCATTTGGAAGCTGGTTTTGAGGGGCCAAAACCTGCAAATACTTACAAGACATGCCAACCATGGTTCCAGGGGAAATGTAGCTAAAAGTCTGGTTTTAGGGAGGAGGATGATGCTGGATTCTGGCTTCGGAGATGCTGACCTGCAGTGTGAGGGGGAAGGATGAGCGGGACCCACCTTAGTGAAGGCTTTAATGGCATGAGCCAGCACAGCTTCCTCCACATCCACAGGGAGAGTCTGCAGGTTCACTATGCAGTGCAACACGCAAAGGATGGTCTGCTGCTGTCCCTGTTTTTACAGAGGTAAATATCAAAAAAGTTGTTTGAAAATGCTTTAAGGAATTCACTTAAAACAACTATAGAATCGGGAATTGGTTTGTGCCCATGTATTCATACTCCAAAGTGTTAAAACAATCTCACAAGAGCATGACCAAATGTTTATCATCACGTGTTGATGTAACATGGAAAGCTTTCAGGAGAGGACCCCAAAGTGGAGGAGCGACTGCCCTCTGTGTATATAGTGCGATCAGTGCTCCTCCTGCAGTGAAGTGAACAGATTTTTTTCAATCTTGTTTCTGGATATAATCACTTCAGACAGAAGAGTCCGCCCAGGTCCCAGGGGCAGGGCACAGCTTATAGAAGCACCCTCTGAGTTC